CCCCAAAACCCCAAAACCCCAAAACCCCTATTGGAATATTGAAAGACATGATTGAAGAATATTAGAAGTATAAATTATTTTAAGATTATTATTAAATGAACGAGAGTCCTACAAAAACAGAGAGGATAGGCCAAGATTTTGTCAAAATATCTAAGAACTTCTCATTGAAGTCCAAACAGGAACAGTATTACTCAAAGAAATCTCTTTCAGAATTTAAAATGAATGATCATGATGATAGTAAGTTGAGAAATTTATTGTAATAAAATTCTAGGTGATGATGAGGCATTATAATTCAATGACTCAGATGGTAAGGACATCAAATCTCTAGAGCCAGATAGCAAATTATCGCTAGGCTGGAGATTCAGTAATAAATCAAGTGACAGAACACCGAGTGGTGATAGGCCAGGTTATTACATGACAGACCATATTGTTAGATCAAACTATGTAAAGATAAAGAGTGAGACTTAAGACTAACAAGGAGATGGCATTGAATTTAATATTTTGAATAATCGAAAAATCTTCTAGGAGAAATTAATTGGGATCAGCCACTAAATATAACCGCGTAAGGCTAGATTTTAAAGGAAGAAGGAGGGGTATCATTTGATTTTGAAGAAAAATTTTAGCCTGACTCATGACGAGGAGATCGAAATTCTTGACAACTTACTCATTAATCAAAGGCAATAAACTTTGAGCAAATTGGAGAGAAGAGTTTTGAAGATTATGGTTAAAAGAGGCATTCCTGAGAGATATAGAAGGCACTTATGGCTCAGAGCGTCAGGAGCTTCTGCTTCAATGAGTCTACCTGAAAACTAATCTTACTATAAAAATCTGAAGCGATTGGAGATGAACTACCCTAATCCAAGTTTTAATCAGATTGAGTTAGATTTAAGAAGAACATTTTATGAACTTAAAATCAGTAAATCTGAGTAACTCATTGATAAGCTAAGAAATGTATTAGCTACTTATTGCAAAAGAAATCCAACTATTGGCTACTGCTAAGGTATGAACTTCCTCGTAGGTCGATTGATAAAAGTGATGTAATCGTCCAGCTCGAGACATCAAAAAAATTCAACACCAATATATAATACTGATAATATCCGAGCAAGTACTAATTTCATCCCAAACAACTCAGAAAATCAAAGTAATCCAAACCTGCTAAAATCTTAAACATCTTTGCTATCTGATGTCAAAACTGAGAACTCCTAAGGATACAGACTATCATAAGTTCAAAACTCGCAAGAGGTAGATGATAGAGACGAGGAAGAGGCTTTTTGGATATTCACACACCTAGTTGAGACTATATTACCTCTAGATTACTATTCAAATATGGTAGGAGCACTTATTGACTAAAAGATATTCTACGATATTTTCAAGGAGAAGATTCCTGACTTGTGTAATCATCTAGAGTCAGTTGGATTTGATCCAAGTCTACTTGCTTTTCAATGGCTTGTGTGCCTTCTGAGCTTTAACTTGCCTCAGGAAGTATCTGTGAGAGTATGGGATCTGTTCTTCCTAAAGGGAACAAAAACAATATTCAGAATTTCATTAGCATTATTGCATTTGATGAAAAACGAACTGATGCAAACCACTGACTTTGCTGAAATCTTTGAGATCCTCGAAGCCTTTCCAAGGAAGCTTATTGATGAAAAGACTCTGCTATAAACAGCTGAGATCAGAAAATACAAAATCAAGAATAGAGTGATCAGTAGAATGAGAGCAGAAAAGAGGGAAGCGGTTGAAAAAGAACTGTAGAAATTAGTATTGGTAAAAGATACCTACAAAGGGACCTACTAAAGATTAAAATTTCTGAATAAATTCTATCTTTACAATGGAGTATAAAGGTCCGACAATGCAAATAGCACAACGCATGAGCTGTATTACAAGAGTTTGGACTAATATGAGAATGAAGTGATGAGAGTTTTCAATTGCTCTACCGAATGGCCAATATGTCTATTTGATTTTACATACAAGAACAAGATTCCTAATTATATTGTTATGGCTTCATCCTCCGAGTCCCCTGACATAATTTAAGATTACTTTTACCCTTCAGCAAATAGCCAGCTTCAAAATTAAGACTAGGAAATTGAGTTTAATTTACCAATTGAAAAACCATCAGAGGGTCTACTTATAGAGAGAGGTAGACATTACTGTGAAAGAAACTAAAAATTCATCCATAACTTTAAAAAACTCTATGACAAAGGTGATTGCCGATTATTCAATAGTCAAAATCTTTGCTTTGACATTTGCAGTGATATTAACTCAACTTAAAATCTTAAAAATTACATAGATGAAATAGCCAAGATCGATATCAATAAAGACATTAATCCACCTGTTCCCATTGATGTCCAGGCAGCAATCGTTGCTACTAATAAGCAAATTAGTTTTCAAAATATAATAGAACTGGATGATGAATACTAACAAAGCCAGAGCATGAGTGACAAAGAAAATATTAAAGATTCCGCTGAGAATGAGATTCAGAATATGCAATCCTAAAAAATGAATAAAATTAAAAAGCCTAGGTTTAAATCTACAGCCTTAAAACAGCTGTCAAGCGATATGGAGGATGAACATGAAATGAATGAAAATTATGAGTAGTTGCAAATAAGTATGAACTCACTGCACATGAGTGCTCTTGACATTATTACAAGCAATTTAGACATAAAATAAGCCAAGAAAAACAAAGATACATTAAACAAAAAGTACATCTTTACTAATTTCTTCTGAGATCCGTAATTTGACATAAATATAATGAAAGGTAAATAGATGCAGGATAAATATTACTGTCCTAAGTCTAGTTAATCTTAAAATATCTTATTCGTTAGTTTAAATATTTAATAAACTTAATTTCATTAATAAACAATACAAAATAAAATGAAATCACTGATTAAATCTATACCAGATATTATTAATCCCTGTGCATAAGTTAGAAGAACATGCCAAAGAGTTAGTACTTTAATGGAAAACTAAGTATCTCCATCAGTTATCATCAACTCTTAAAAGTTAGATGAATTCATCCAAAACCTTGAACTTAAGGTCAAGTAAGATAATATTGCTTATGAGCAATGGGCTAAATATCATATGGATCCTAATAATTATTCCATAGAGTAAGTTTTAGCTTACATATTCGTAGTAGATGGCATGAATTTCTGTTTCTGGCCTAACAATCCCTCTGGAAATTTTGAATATGAACACATGACTAAAAACTTGGCAAAAATCTTAGATGAGCAGCCAGACTTTTTTATCCCTAAATAGCTAACATTAGTATAAGCGGACGAACTAAAATCAAGAGTATTCAACAATATGGAATTCGCTTTGCTAGAGGAGAGAGCTAGAATAGTTAGAGAAATCGGTTATATAGTTGAGACTTCATTTGATGGTTCCTTCGTCAAATTTCTTGAGAGGTCAGACTTTGATGTTCCAACCTTGATAAAAGATATTGTATAAAACTTCAGTGGGTTTAGAGATGAGGCTATTTATTAAGGCGAATAAGTATGTTTTTACAAAAGAGCCTAAATTTTAGTTGCTGATATAATAGGAGCATTACAGGAAAAGAAAAATATGGAATAGTTTGTATTTGAAAATTAGGAATAATTAACTATGTTTGCTGATTATAGAGTTCCCTAGATACTTAGACATGTTGGCATCTTCTAATACTCAGAAGAATTAGCAAACAAAATAGATAATGAAATAGAGTTACCTTACTCAAGCACAGATGAAGTTGAAATAAGAGCTTAAACAGTAGTTGCAGTTGAGATGATTCTTGGAAAGGTGAAGGAAAACTAAGTTCTTAATTAGAAGATAAAGTATTCATTTGAAATTGATTGGCTCTTATGGCAAATGGGAGAAAACAATCTTGATAGCATGAAACCACATCATAAGGTTTTGTCGATATTCTATTGAAAGTAAAATTAATAATTAACATAGGGTTGAAATCTTAATTAACTTAAAATTACTTTAAAGCTTAATTCCATAATATTTTGTCAGGAGATTTCAATCAACATTCATTTCTATTTATGGAACCAAAAGCTTTATCTAGCATATCTGAAAGGAAATTAGATATTCCTGATGGCTGCTACTGCTAATAACTGGCAGTATCAAATTCTCTCTTGTGAATTATCGAATCACCTTTCAAAGTAGGTGAATGCTTCTTTAATGAATTCTTTCTGATACTTGCATTACTCTATCTTTTCTCATAGCATTTGCATTAGTTTATTGATTAGTCACAAGCCTCACAAAAATGCTTGCTGCAATTTGGACAGTAATAGGATTTAGTTTGAGGTCTCTTTACAAGATTAGCTGATTTGCACATTTCACATCGCTTACAAACACATTCATCAATTTAGTTTTAGCAAACTATGCAAGTCTCATCTTCACATTTCAAGCAGATTTGAATCCATTTTGATTAGTCCAGAAAACTAAGAATTTCATCTTCTTGACTATTCTAAGATTTGTTCAAAGATTAATTGCAGCATTGACTTGGTCTAAAAATTATTAATTCACAATTATTCATTAATAAATAGAAGAGTGTAGAATTCTACGACATGTTAATACCAAAGATTATATTAGTTCACTTACTCATAAAGAATCTCAACCTTATCTTCAATGCCGTTTTGGAGCATCTTTGGAGCTAAGGTATTAATCAGCTATAAAAGTGTATCTTTAGTCAGTATCTTCGAGCAGTCTTTGTAAGGACAGGCTATCAACTCATTTTTTATCTTTTATCTATTGAGTATTTCTTACATAAAAGGGTCTACGATTGCTTGCTTGATACAGTATTTACACACATTATGATTACATCTTTTGTCACATATTTTAGCTGAAGGTTTGAATTAATTGCAGACAGAGCATTTAGAATCTACAAAGTTTATTATTTTTTGCACTTATAGAACCTGCTGTTGCTACTTAAATCTGGAAGTGATTTCTTTAAATTGAGGGGTTTAGACTTCACTCTTTACCACTTCTTTTTTGTTCTAAGTTGTAGAGAAATTACTTATCACATTTCTTATAACGCTTTTTTAGATTTTGCCTTGACATTGCAGACAATTTATACGATCATTCTCATCAATATCATTTATTATCAACTTGCCGAAATTTGCAATTACAAAATCCTTTGTAATTTTGCAAGAGCATTCTTTGGTGTCATTTCGCTCAGTTTAATATCTTTAAATTTTATGATCCTTAATCTCATTTTTAGATGGCGAAGAATCTCTGTCCTAGTGAGTATTTTGTTTTTTAATTTAGGAACTATTATCTCTACTGCTTTAGTATTTATCTCTAGAGAGTCTGCTATAGTTGAGTGGACCTCGAACAGTTTCTCCAAGTTCTGTTTAATACTCGATGTGAAAGTATTAATCATTATCTGATTGATCGTCTGCTTGGTAGGACTCTTTAGGTTTCAGACATGCCTTACACTCTTCTAACTGGTAACATAATTCACAAAGTTCATGATCTTCATTACAATGATGAGAATTAGCTCTTAATCCTTCAGCGCCACAATTATCACATTCTCCATTGCTCAAATTGTGACTGGCAATAGCCTTAAATAAGGCCTTTTAGACTACATCTTTGCCAAAGAGCAAATTTAAAGATTCCATTCCTATGGTCTCCTAGCAGGAACAATTAGGAAATACCACTCTATTAGTTTTCTTTTGAATGGTAAACATCATGTTATCAGTTTAAGCAAGAATGAACCTTTTAAGGCTAATTTTCTTCTTGATTTAGCATGTGTTACATATTATTAGTACTTATTTTTCAATTTAGCTGTTGACTTTTATTTCCTCATTTTATTCAAAATCAAAGTTAAAAACTCTTCTTTGTTACTGAGGCTTTTCAGCCTGATCTTCTTAGTTTTAGTTTGCCATCATCAACTAAGTTGTTGCTAACTAATTTTACTATTTGGTGCTTTGGACTGAAATCTTCTTAGTTACTTTATGAAAAAGCTATCGTTCTCTTCTCTGTAGCTGTTACTCATGATCACAGGATTAAGTACTTGTTACAATTTGGTTTCTAGAGTTATAATTTCCAATTTTCTCTTCAATATTATGGTGTATGGTCTCATCATTTTCATTTTCAAATTCACTGATTGATTTAAGTTTCTTTGGACTAACATGCTTTTGCTTTGAGTTTAATTCCTCTTGCAAAACTTACTACTCTAAAGCTAATCTCTCCTTCATTTTATCGTAAAATGCCTAGCCTTTTTCCTTCAGTAAATCACCAATCACATTCTCCTTATAAACTGGTTAGTCCAAAATATTTTTATTTTTATCACAAAGTGGGCATATTGAAAAGACTACTAAAGATAAAGCATCTTGTTCTTTTATTGTTAGATAAAATTTCTTCTCAGTAACATTCGCCACATGCTTAATTAAGCAAATTCGATGATATGAATGCCTGCAATCCCAAAGACAGATATATTCATCTGTAAAGTATATATCTTTGTTGCATTGAGTGCATACATCTACTGATTTATCATTCCTTTTCCCATTTTAACTGTAAATCAATTCTGAACAATTTGTTTGAATCCCTTATTCTTGTTTTTAAAATCCAATACTTCTTGGATTTTTAATCTTATCTAAAATCAAAATAGTATTTTGAGAATTATACTTGCCAGCAATCTTGGAAACAGACTAAAAAATAGTTGAAATTTACGAATTATAATTACTCACATTATCTGGACAAATACAAATGAATTTTACAAAGCTTGAATTGCCAAAAAAATCATTTACTCCTTCTTAAAAATCTTAGATATCAGATATAATATCATCAATAGACTAATATTTATCCAATCCTATAAGGTTTGAAAACTGCTCAATGAATGTATCATTTTGGAGCAAATCATCTTTTTCTAACTCCTGCTTCAAATATCTCTGGACTATATTTTAAAGGTAAGTTTCATTTTAAGCTTTTTCAGATTAATTCAACCTATATTATATTTATGTTAAACATAGGTAAAAAACATGATGATCTTAATTTACTTTCTTTCAAGCTATTAGGATAATAATTCTTAGTTATTCTGGTCAAAATACAATTCAACCAATCTCTCGGAAAGTTGAGAAATTTCCTAAATAATAATCTCTTTCTAGATTTCTACAACGCTCGATTCATTATTGGATTCAGTTGGTCTTTTTGTTTCGATTAATTATTGATTCTTATTGTGTTCAACAATTATTTATTCATCTTAATCAGCATTATTCAATTACAGCTTGTCATTCTATTTTTAGTTTTGGTCTTTCTATTCCTGGATCATATCAGTTGATTTACTTTTAATAAGCTTTCTGAATATCTAAATGTGCATTTACTATTTTTTTGGCCTCAATCTTAAATATTGAACTAAGCTTTCTCTAATTTTGATATCTTATTCTAATTATATTTCTGGATCGAACTCAATACTCTCAACTTGTTGTTGAATTTCAGTTAATTTGCTTATGAAAACTGGGTGAAGCTTTTAATTGTATCTATTTGACTGCAGATACTAGAGAATTTTACTCAGTTATTCCTCTTATTTGGAGCTTCTTATTTAGTTCATGTATTTTACTTAAAGATTCTTGATAGTAGATTGAAGATCAAGGTTTAATAAGGTATCATTTAGTATTTAGCTTAACTTTACCGATATCTAATCCTAAATTGCTCCAATTTGCGCAAATTTATCCTATATACGTCAGCTTACCTCCTCGAATTTGTCTTAAATTGTCTATTTTTCCTGCAAATAATCAATGAAATCATCCTCAGAATGTGGATCCATTTAATTTTATTCATGCTATAAGTGACTAACCAAGCATTTCTAGCAAAGTATGATTTGACACTTGTTGCAGAATAAATTAAGTTAAGAATTTAGATGTTTGCTGCAAAACTTTTTCATTTTTATAAACTTAAATTTATAATTTACATTAATATTCCACAAAAACAAGAAGACTGGGGTTTTGGGGTTTTGGGGTTTTGGGG